AGAAGAGAGAGAGAGAGAGCATGACCATACGAATTCATAAACCTCCATTCTTAATTTCTCCCTTAGGGTGGCGTAAGTCAGATGAGGTTTCAGCCACATGTTGGGAGGTTGCTCGCAGCTGCTGCTGAGAATGTTGTGTCAATACTCGATGTTGAAAGCCAAGTCTGTTGCCACTCTTTACAGGTGAGAATTGTGAGATTCATCTTCTGGGTGTCTTATTTCAAATCATTCATCTTTTACAAGATTTCATTCCCCATATTCATATACTTACAGAAAAAGCTCTTCCTTAAAAAATTTGACTTTGTTGCATTTCTTGTCAAAATGCAGGGGCATTCAAAACCTGTTCATTCTCTTTGTTGGGATCAATCCGGGGATTATGTAGCATCAGCAAGCGAGGACTCTGTTAGGGTTTGGGCTGTTGGTGGTAGAAGCAGAGGTGAATGTGTGCATGAGCTAAGCTGTCACGGCAATAAGTTCCATTCATGTGTATTCCATCCTATATATCCATCACTGCTGGTAGTTGGATGTTATCAGGTAAGTTAGATCTGGGTCATACTGCATGTTTAAACCCCATTTCTATTTCAGTAAAAGTATCCCATAGTCCAACTGGTTATGGTGTATGCTCCTCAATAAGTTCACCATCCTTGCCTACCGACCAATGGCTGGAGATCAACTACTGGAGCATATGCCTGCAGGGATATTCACTTGGGTAATGTTAATATCCAAATGGACAAGGAAGGTTTTTGTAGCTTGGAGTTGTGTGTGCCATTGTTGTTTAGACTGGGGCATACTCCCTTTCTTTTTGGATACTATAATCCAATGAACTACAGAAAAGCCCTTGGTCAAGAGGGTCATGACCATCCATTGAAGTGTCGGCTGGTATTAGAGAGAGGTGGTGGTTCTAACTCTTCATCACCATGTGTCAAACTAATGTGCAGTGATCACCCCTGTGACCTGCGGTTTCCATTACGGCCCATTGATAATGGCACATAGCATACTCAATTTTTTTTTTTCTCCATTCAAGTCAGATCCGTAGTTTGCTTTGCAATATGACTGACTGTATTTTCTTCTCTTTCTTTGTGCAGTCCTTGGAACTGTGGGACATGTCTGAGGGAAAGTGTATGACCGTTCCAGCACATGAAGGTTTGGTTGCGGCATTGGCGGCATCTAATGTGACGGGCACGGTGGCTTCTGCTAGTCATGACAAGCATGTAAAGATTTGGAAGTGATAGGCTTCTGTCATGCATGGCTACCTCGTTTTGTCACAAATATAGAACAATGAGAAGTGATGGGTTTCTCTTTGTCACTTATACATAGCAAATGAGATGAACAATTAAAATTTGTATGGAAAGGCAAATGATATATGCATTTGCATTTTGTATCTATTATATTTGTTACAACCTGTAATTTATCAATACAAAATATCTTTCGCTTGTTGCCTCATCTCTTCAATTGGAAGCACGTACGAGACTTCAATTCTGGGATTTCTAAAGAAAAAAAAAAAGAAAAGATAAATCTGACAATGTTTTAAATTCATTATAACCTGTGATAGTGATAAGGGCTCAGGAGTAAGGAGCGTTACTTATATGACAGTTATAATGGTGCTTGCTGTTTTTTTTGAAATATCGCCTGTTATTTGGCAACAATTATTTTTAACAGATCCGTTTAACATTATAATGGCCATTATGATCAGGAAGATGCTAATTTTGAAAAGCTAAAAGTTTAGATGTAGGCTCATGAGCACTTTAATATGTTGCTTAAAGCTAGCTATTATATAAATACGATGGGAGTTTTGCAGACTAATTATAGATAAGTCCTTCTGGGAGTTTCACCTTTAAAGTTTTAGGATGAAGTGGAGAGCAACCTCAAAGTCGCAATTAAATTTGAAGTGTTACTTATGACCAAACAAATACAGTTGGTATTAGCATGTGATAATGTTATCTGTTATCCTAGTTGCTTGATTAAGATCAAACACAACCACTTGAAGTATCACCTATGACCAAACAAATATAGTTGGCACCAGCATGTGATAATGTTGTCTATTCTCCTATTTGCTCGATCAAGATCAAACACAACCACATTTCTAGATGCGTATGGATTATTTTAAACTATTCTCCTAGTTGCTCAATCAAGATCAAATACAATCATGTTTCTTGACATGTTTGAATTATTTTTTAATGTGAAAAAGTGGTATGTCAGTGGGGATTTGAACTTTTGCCATTTGGTGAGAATGGAGTCAGAGACCTTCCCATAGAGCTCAACAATCCTATTGCCAAGGCCCAAGCCATTCTCTAGATGCATATGGATTATTATGTACATGAAGGCATGTAGAGAGCTTGCCCTCTAGACCAAGAGCTGGTTATAAAACTTGAGGCATTTGTTATTACATTATTAGAATATTTTGCGAATTTCCTTTTATTAACTCATTATAAAATTTGATGCAGCCCTAGATTTAACAACCGGAAGAAGCATGAGGAGAAAAATGATTTATAGGACATCCATAAAAAAGGAATTCCTCCTAATTGTATTGAATCCAGCTTTCCAACATAGGTTAGAAATGAGTATTACACACGTTCTTAGATTTCCGGTTTGCCCTGATATTTTGAAAGGATTTGTACTATAAGATCATTTATTTTTAATACAATTACAATCATCTTTAGCTATCGGATATGAAATTCAATAACTTAAAAGTGTATCACATAGTTTGAGAAATTTTATTTTGGACTTTATGTTTAATCAATACCATACCTCCACCCACCCAATTTCACTTGTCATTACCAATTATGAGTTCCTCATACAAAAATAAACAGTCTGTTATATATGTTTCCTATTTTGAAACATGTGAAATTGTAATTTCTGGCCGTAATTCTGTGAGACATTCTTGATTCCTAAATATTAATATATTTCAAGTTTTATTTAAGTTTCAAATTATCATATTTTGAAAAGTTTTTTTGGATGGTCGGACTCTTAGCTTTCCTCGATATTTTCCCATAAACGTTAAGTTCTTAAATATCTCCAATAAAATTGTTTACCCCAAGCGTTGATAATAGCAAAGGCATAATCCATGTTAGCCTTTTGAGAATGTGTTTCAAATTAGGTATGATACTTTATATTTTTGTGGGGACCATTTTAAAATAAGCAAAAAGATTGAAATAACTGCAAGGCCTCATGGGAAATAAATAAAGCCTCGCCTCAATAACTCACCCGAAGTTAGTTTTTGACGTCGAAAACCTTCAAATCAATCATCGTTATTCATAGTTGTTGAAGAAATTAGGACTTCAAGCTTTAAAACTATTACATAGTACAACACATTATTTAGATTATCCAATTTTAAGTATTTAGAGATCTACAAGATTTGTATTATTTTTTTACTTATAAATTTCATAATTAGTGGTGGAAATAGATTTTAGAACCGTCTTAAGGATTTCCCATGCCCGAAGTATTTTTTGCACAAGATTTCGAAATGGAGCTTTGATTTTTTCTTTTCATAAGACCCAACCTTATTGAAATTGCATCCTTTAAATAATGAAAATGGTTTGATAGGGCTCCAGCCCTATCAAAATAGGTAAATCCTTACCTCATAAAAAATTGAAAATTACAATTCAAGCATTGGAAAATTTGTACATTGATTATCTTGCTTAAACATTATAGTTGCGAAACAAAAGAGATTTTCAAGCTCTAAAAAAGAGTATATTATAACAAATTATCTAGACTGTCTATTTCACCCTAAAAATAAGTGTTCACAGTTCCACAAGATCTACATAATGTTTTGAGTTTTGAATTTTATTGTTACTGGTGAAAATTAATTTTAGAGTCATCAAAGATATTTTCATTGCCGAAAATACTTTACAGACAAAGATTTGAGGTAAGGTTTTATTTTGTTTTCATAAAGCCTAGGACTTATAGAAACTCCATCCTTAAATAAAGCGAAGTATGCTTTAAACGAAGCCTTTTGTCTTGTAGAACGAGAGAGTTATGTTGGATCACTGTTTAAAAAACCGGTAATCTATGATCCAGATCGTCGATTTGGATACGAATGAATTGATAATTTGAGACTAAATTGGTTCTTAGATAATATGGGTTTGGGACTAATACCCGGCAAAACTTCAAAAAAAATTTTAAAAATTTGTCTAATATTTTTTGAAGGTCCTTTTAAATTCCCACCCTATAAACTTTTATTTTAATTAATTAATTTATTTATTTATTTTCTAAAATACTTTTGATAATCACCGATTCAAACCTTCAACCCAACCTGGATCCAACCATCCTACACAAATTTATAAGAATGACATGTCCCGCGGATTTAAGTTTTAAAACATTGGTTTGGATATAATTTTATTCTCTTTCCTTATGTTTGCGAAACGAAGGGGAGAGATGGTCCCGGTGGAGCATGCATAACATGCTTGTTTAAAGACATGGACATAATGATAAGGGAGCTCAAGGCTCCCTTTGGACATACGTAGACGCTTTTTTCGGACGTGCATGAAACTTTTTTCTTTGTTTTTTTCCTTGTTAGGTGTCAATGCATGTTTGCACCAATGTCATAAGGACACAAACATGGGTGTTGTGTCCAGTACGTGTCTACTACTCAGGCCAATACGACTCCAACATGCCTCACTTACCATATATTTGAAAATGCTTACAAACATTTATACGTAAAATTTTATACTACTTCACCCCGAGCCTATTACCATCCGAACTTCTTTGCACGATTATGACGGTCTGATAGTGTTTGAATTTTAATAATTTTTTATAAATTATATTAAATTAAAATTTTGTAGGTGTGTGTAAAAGAGCCAACTTAAATAAATTATAAAAAAATAAAAATTTGAACAATAAAAAAAAAACCAAAATACCCTCTAGAATTTTACGACTATTTTATCATTTTATTTTTTGATTTTTTTTTAATATTTTATTTTGGTGCGTATTGGCCAGATGTACATACTCCCCAATTTTCAAAAAATTTGATTTGTAGAACATTTATTAGAACTTAAACATTATCAAACAACTGTGACCATGTGATGGATTTTACACAGTGATGAGTCATAGGTGAAGTACTGTAGAACTTCACCCATTTACCTTTGATACAAGGAGGTCACAATTACTTACAATCATCCGATGTAAAATTTTATAGCTTAGATGTTTATAAATTTTGAGATGAAATTTTATAGCTTATGTGTTTATAAATTTTGAATTTTGAGCTTGGTCAATGAAATAAATGCAACCATCTACTTTCGAATTCAACGGTCAAGATTAATTGTGACCATCTCATATGAAAGATAAATGGTCTCATTGTATATATATATATATATATATATATATATATATATCTTCTCACACCTATAGGCGAAAATAAACGGTGATTTCGCTTATCCTCATCACCATCCAAGGTTCATCGCACGATCACGATTGTCTGGTAGTGTTTTATTTTTCAGATTTTTTTTTTCTAAAAATCGGCATTACCTGAAATTTAGAGCGTGTGTACATCTTAGTGAGGCGCAGTTAATAAAAATATATAAAAAAAAAATTCTGAAAAATAAATTTATCAAAATACCCCTGAAACATTTCGGGGGTATTTTGGTCAATTTGTTTCATGTAAAATATTTTTTTTGATATTTTTTCGTAGATTCACATATTTTTGATGAACACACGCTCCAAATTTTAGGTACTTCCGATTTATAAAAAAAAAAATGAAAAATGAAACACTACCTGACAATCGTGATCGTAGGTGATACTACAAAATGCCTATAGATGAAAATGAATAGTTATTTTGCATATCCTGATCACTGTCCAAAGTTCATTGCATAGTCACGATTGTTCGATAGTGTTTCATTTTTTATTTTTTTCTACAAATTAAAATGATCTGAAATTTGGAGCATGTGTTCATCAAAAAGTATGTGAAAAGTATTAAAAAACTATTTTACATGAAATAAATGGACTAAAATACCCCCAAAACGTTTTAGGGGTATTTTGATTAATTGTTTTTCTCGAATTATTTTATTTTTATATTTTTATTAGGTGCGCATCACTAAGATGTATGCACGCTCCAAATTTTAGATCATTCAGATTTGTAGAAAAAAAAATGAAAAATAAAAAATGAAACACTATCAGACAATCGTGACCGTACGATGAACTTTTGACGGTAATGAGGGTATGCGAAATCACTGTTCATTTTCACCTATAGGTGTTGGTAAAACTTTTCCTTATATATATATATATATATATATAGAAAAGTTGATATAAGGTTGCAACCTTAAAATGTAGAATCACATATGCACCTCAAAAATTTATTGGAAATGTCGTTTTAATGTTGAAAAAAACTGTCTAATCATTCATCTCGACATCGAGATGCATGACTATGAAAAAAAAAATGTTTTTGAGTTTCGAAAAAAGTGCATTTTGCAACACATTATCTAGACCGTCCATTTTCAAGATTTTCAAAT